CCCCCCCCCCCCCCCCTCCCCTTGTGCTGTGCCCCTCTTCACCCGTGCAACAGACGAAGTAGCAGGTTGCTTATCTTTGTGGCGTAGGTTTTGGCTCCTCGAGCGGGAACACCTGACAGTCCCGAGGCTGCACGTTGTGCCACTCTTCTCCGAGGGTGGTCTTCGGTGACGGCAGCTCTCACGTCTGTATTTTCTCCACCCGTCCGTCCATCAGCTTATGTACATACACTATCGAGTGTTGAGCTTGGTAGGCGCGGAGATTTGCGGCGGCGGGCGGGGAAGCGAATGCGGTGGGATTGAAATCGTCGTCTGATTGGTCGAGAGTGTGCTGGCATCCGTTTCTCCGCATCGTTTCTGGGTGCCATGTCCCAGGCGCCGAACAAGAAGTCGCAGCTGGACTCCCTGCCCCCAATCTTGGCGACTCTTAAGTCTGTTCCGTATCGTCATTATTTAGTGCGCCGTGCATTTTGCCCTTGCCTCCCGCCGAGCCCTCCCCCAACGCGTTAATCATGGCGCTCATTGTATTTGATGGGACGCGCCGGCCGCTGCTGAGCGAAGCATATGCTTTGACCACAAGATTTGTATAAAATTAAGTTGTTGCCCGGTTGCATTGGTTTCAGCGACGGGAGGAGTGTGGGACGCTGGCTGCGAGACCAGTAGATTTCTAGTTGGCGCCACCCGGGGCAAAAGGGTTTAGTAGTGTTATGTGGGGGTAGGGGGGGGGGGGGGGGGCGCCGTGTATGTGTTTTTTGTTTGGTCCGAAAAGGCTAGCATACGGATGTACTGTCGAGTGACGGCCTCTAACTCGAGGGGGCTTGCGACCCCTGCTTTGGCAAGCTGTTGACGAGCTTTTTTGTGTTGACGTGACGGCTTTGTGTCAAACGACCGTTTTTTTTTTTGTCCTGTGTTCACTTGAGGCCTTCACGACCCCTGTTGACTGTTGAACCTGTTATCTGGCGCCTGTTGTAAGGGTAACAGGGTCTGGGAGCTTGAGAGTGACTCGGGAACCACGCGCTGAGACGCGTACAAAATGTTGTGCTGTGTTGTTCGAAACCGCCGGCTTATGTTGAGGTGATACCGCAGTGTCCCCCCTGGCTCCAAAAGAGCGCTCCAATGGTTTGATCTTGTTTAGGGCGGTCTGTGTAGTGAACACGCCCTCAAACACGTGGCGCACATCCTGGCAGATCACGCAGCCGCTCCTCCCCTTCGCTGCCCACAGCCGGCTGACGCTTGACGGACTGTTCGACGCGGTTGAAAGACCCGACCCAAAAGCCAACACACCCTAGCTTCAGGCTTCGGGTGCTGCTGCTGTACGTGCTCTGGTCTCGTTCTTTCGCGGGCTGGCTTGTTTGAAGGAGCAGCAGTGTTTCGTGAGCACCCGCCCGAGCTAGATATCCAGCCCAGCGCCCTACCAACCATTGAACATCATTATTGTTTCGTTGCACGTAAACTTCTTATCCCTTTGGACTGAGGTTATATCTCAAACGGGTAGTCTTTCTGTGAGGTTATGCTTTACTTTCTAAAAACTTGTCATGTCGGTACTGGTCCGTCTGACGCTAACGCGTCCCGTGGTCACAAGCCAACAAGAGGGTGCGCGCCGAAAAACCCCCAAGTGAGGGGAAGGGGTTGCTGATGGGCCAGGCAGTCGGAGCAAGTTGGGCACCTACCTGGGTTCTGGTTTGTTTGGTCGGTAATCCCCGGTGAAATTGATTTGCTGCCAAGACAGCAGTGTTGGCTCGAAGGCACAATTAGCTGACAACCTCCGGTTCGAAGAGGCGGGCATTGTCGCGTTGACAGGATAAACTGGGTGGCCAACAACGGTATGTACACGGATCTGCTCCTTGGCTTGAAGCCCTACTGTTGTTGTTGGAGCACCGCCGGCATTGTGGTTGCTATGCAAACGCCGCAAGTGGCGACTAATAGGAACGCCAACGCAAGACAGCACTCAACGAGGCGAGTAGCTGCAAGTACTGCTGCTGTAGAACGCGCTGCCCGACAGCTCCGCCACCTTGCTCCATTCACAGACACAGACAGACGGCCCGGAGTATGTACATGGAACGCCGCATGACGCAAAATTATGCTCTGTACACTGAACTAGCACTCCTGGCTGCACAACCTACATGTCGCCTCCTTCGATAACCAACCGTAAGTTGTCCACGGCCGGTGTGAAAGAACCCGAACATAGCATGGTATGAATAGCATGCACCTCAACAAAGAAACACCATCGACGCGTTGCTACATGGTACGGAACGTTCGTGTTTACAGGCGGAATCCCATCCCGGCGGCAGCTTTACCGTACAACGCGCACACCGATTAGACAGGCACTCGTCTGGCAGCTGGATACGATCAAAACCCCGCAACAGAGTAATCGTTGGTATTCCCAAGACACCCGTTATCTAACGCTTTACCCGCAAAAATACGCTAGCTGGGAGCTGTGGGGGACAACCAGCCCGGCCGCTGGACACATCACACCCTACCTACCGCTGAACACCTGCCTCTAAATACGCGCTGCAAAACCTGTTGGTAGTCAGTCCGGAGTTAAATCGCACCCAACCCCCACCTCCGGGCGCTAAATACCCACCAGACCAAGGCGACCGGTCAAAATAGCAGTTTTGGTGCGGTCCTGTGGTCTCCTCTCCTCATTGGCTTGCACCGCCGCCGGACATAAACGCGATCATCTGCCGCACCTCATCGAAACGTATTCGCGTGTTCACCCTCACGACGTCCTTGCCCTTCATCGGCCGCGCCACCAGCCCGCCATCTATCCCCCCGCCGCCGCCCGCCGAGGGCGCGCGCGGTGCAATAATCGTGCACCATTCCGGAACAATGCTCGCCAGCATCCTAACTCGATCCCTCGCCTCCTTGTGGGACAGCGCATGCTTGCTAGAGCTAGAGAGGGCCTCTATCAGCACGTCGAGGGAGCAGGTTGTCCGGCCTGCGTGGGCGAAGTAGGACCTAGCGGGGACAAAGTGGCACCGGGCGGGGGGCGGGGGTAGATAGTCATGTAAACGCGTGCCATAGTGGTTTAACCGTTGACCTCGCATCCCTACAATACCGGGACGGAGCGATATGCCGGGTTGGCACCAGCCCGGGCTATGTTTCACACGGATGAACCAAACATCACCCTTGCGGTAGCCGCGCCAAACCAGATGGGGGGGGGGGAGGGAGAGAACGAGTCGGTCTACCGCGCCTCAATCACAGCGTATATCGTTTTTGCGTTCTCCGTCCGCGCGCTGTACAGAAAGAACGCCTCGCGCCGGTGATGGCGGGTAGGGCAACAACGACGGTCCGCCACCTACCGCAGCAGCAGCAGCAAGGAAGCACTGCTTCCGCCTCTCACCTCACGGCATCCGCCATGGCGGGGAGGTTTCCCTTACGTCTCCTGTCGGCTTCCTTCTCTTCCTCGGTTTTGTTGCGCTCCTTGGCGCTGAAACGGCAGCAAAAGTAGGGCGGGGACGTGCGGGTGGTTGGTTATCGGTCGTGTTTCGGTGTTGTAGTAGTGCTGTAGAGGGCAGCCCCGCATTCACCAAGCGATACATATTAGGTACTACAGACATGAAAAAACGAAACACGATCACGCAAACACAACAGATATACACCTTGTTGAGCCGGAAGGTATCTGTACGTACCTTCTGCATGCAGCATGCAGGGCACCTCGCTATGAGAAAGACAAACAGGTGGGCAACTGATATGTACGGCACCTACACGGCGTCCCCCCCCCCTCTCCGGTTTCTCTCACTACACGACCTAACCTCCCACCCGCTCAACCGGCAAGGCCATCCGCTACCCCATCCTCTCCCACGACTGCTTCTAGCCGCAACACCAACAAACCACAACCGAGGCCGAACAGCAAAAAACAAAAAACGAGCTGCTTTTCTCACGTAATCCTTACACACATGCATACCTCAGCGCATCCTTTTGCCGAAGCCGCTCACGCAAGGCTTCCACGTTCTTCGGAGCGTCCGACCCTTCCTCGTCATAGTCAACACGGCCACCGCCCATCCCGGAAGCCACGCAACCCCCTCGGAAGGTACCCGGCAGCAGGTTACCACCACCACCACCACCACTACGGCCGTCACCAGGCGACCTCTCCAACCCTTGGCTCGTCGACGGTGATTCTACGGCGCCCCCGGCGTCGGGTGCAGCACGAGAGCCGCCGCCGATGCCGTCTGCCCGGAGAGGTCTCGTGTCCGGGAGAGGAGCCTGCGGCAGGCAGGAGCACTCGTCGCGCGGAGCGCTAGGGCCACCGGCGATGCCCCTGCTGCCTCCGCACTTGCAGTGTCTGACGAAAAAGAGGCGTTTTTGTTTTCCGCACAGAGAAATGGCGGCAGGTAAGTATGCGCGCGAGTCGCCCAGTCGAAAAAGACGGCAGGGGAACAGAGTATGTTCCGGGCAGACACATGAGCCCCTGGTGGGGGCAAGGGGGTTCCTCGATAAACGAGGGCGGGGAGAGAGTCTCCACAGGCATAACAACATCGGAAATAGTTGCCTCAAGATAGCTCTTGCGCGGGGTTGGCGGCACTGGATTTCGTCTATGCAACGATAAGCCACAGGCTGGATTTCGTCTATGCCGCGAAAAGTCACAGAGCGCTACACCACTCCGCATGTCCCCTTTGCAGATGCGACAAAAGAAGGCCACTTTGACGTTTTGGGGCAACCTCGGTCGAGAGGCAAAAGAACAACAACAACAAATATCATCTCCCGAAGAAATCAAAGCCCCGGTTGTGCTCACCTTGCCTTTGCCGAAGCCAGCAGGCGGAGGAAGATCTCCCTCCTTCGCGCAGACAGGGCCTCGCCCCCCGCGATGCTATGGCCACCGGTGTCTCCACCGTTACGTCCATCGCGATCCGCACCGGCAACCGCACCTTTCCCAGCCGCAGGGGCCTTTCCTACCCTATCTCTTCTGGCGCCCTGCGTGTCATCATCGAGGCAGGCTTCATCGGCCGGCGGCGGGCTTGGCCCGGTCTCGATGAAGATGTCTTTCAGCCGGTAGCCACCCCGGGTGGGTCGCGCATCCGTCCTGCTGGAAAGCTTGTACGCGTCTGCGGCGGGGTTACCGGAAAAGAGAGGAGGAAATGTGTCGGAAGGTTTCGCAAGACAAGCGTGCTGACAAAAAGGTCGAGAAGTTAGTCATCTAGTCGGCGTCCAACATGCACACCATCACTATTACCGAACGGGAGGAAGATGCTCAAACACGCACGGCTACCACTGCCTGGGCAACTACTGGACAAGAGAAACACCTCGACAAGGACGCCCATAGTTCCAACTGCTTGCACAAGTGCCGGGCGCACACGAAAAAAATTTGCGCTGGAAATCCGTTCGCGAACAAACCTTGACAGTTGCGGCGGCGTCTATATCTGAGACACCGAAAAAATGAAAATAGCTTCAAAAAGGCTGGTTCCAAACGCGTAAGAAGGAATTTTTGTTTGTTTGTTTGTTTGTTTGGAGTTTCTTCGCCGAACTTGTAAACAATAGCCCGTCTGCGCTCGCGGGAAAAAGAGCAAGAGATTATCATGTTTTCCGTTTTCCGGGGGGGACAAAAGCGGTTGTTCCGGCAGAGGTGTGGTGAAAACACTCCACGGGTGCTCGCGATAAGACTGCCAACGTGCTGACGATGGGGTAATGCCCGGTGTCCCGTAAGGAGTTAGTCACCTGGTGCGGTTTACACTTGCTGCATGCTCACCTGGCTGCACGAAAGCAATCCGCGCGAGGTGTTGCCTCGTGAAGGAGCGGCCGCACATCCCCTCCACCGCGGGCTTGATCTGCTTGAGCAGCGTCGCCTGCCTCCTGCGGCGGAACAGCGCAAGCACTTGCTCCAGCGCCAAGAACATCGCCTCCAGCGGGCAGGGGTCGAGGTCGTGCCCTTCGCCACTATCCCGACCACTTGCGCTGCTCTCTTGGGCCCCTCGCGATGATATCGGTGTCCCCGGCGCCTGTCGTCATGATGGATCGGGTTTCAACATCAGAGGTGAACGGAACAAGGTGGAGAAAATCGTTTTCTGCATGGTTGGGGTGTGCGGCGATACAGGGGAAGAGAGAGGGAGGCATAGACAGAAGGCAGATAGGGAGATGGATAGATACACAGATGGATGAAGAGCAAGAGAGAGATAGAGGGAGAGAGAGGAGACTAACGCACTGCTTCACTTTACGACAGCCCAAACAGGGTTCACAATAAGGAAGGTACAGGTGATGCACTGCTTTGCATACGAATCGCTGCCAGAGTCTCCGTGCGACCATTACTACTGCTGTTGCAACTAAGAAGTTGGTAATCACGTTAGACGAAACTGGTTGTGGGTCGCCAAGCTCATCGGGAACAAGTCCCTAAGCTAACTGCTCGCGCCATGCACTCCACGTGGAGATGGCGATGACGGCACACTCCAACGGCCCACCCGTCAAAGACGGTCAAGCTCATCGAACAGCCCATTGCAGCAGCGTACCGCTTGAATTGTCTCGAGATTTGTATTAAGATCGGAGCGAGCTCGTCGGTCGTCACAGCCGTTCCGGGCACACACAGCAGCGTCGAGCCGTGAACGACGGGCGCGAGTAACGTCCAAGGTTAAGGTTTGGCGCTTACTTTCATCCGTACCCCCAAGAAGACTGTGAACAAATGGCATGCCGCGCTCATATCGTGAGATGGCAGACCCCACTGTTGTCCACCCTGCTGCATCCCCGCGATGTATGCCCGATGATTCTTACGAATTCGTACATGCACCACGTCCTGAGAATGGCACATCACACGACCTGCAGCAGCCCTTCATCTCGTGTGTAACGGGGATGTGAGCGGGGAATAAACCGACCGACCAAGATCCACCGCCGTCCCGTCCACAAGCGATACAGCAGACCTACACAACAAGCGATTCTACACAGGGGAGAGTCGAAGCACAGTTCCAACCTGATCGTGTTGCGCGTCCGGCGGCCGAGTGTCCTGCCGCGCAGCGGCGACGGGCGACAGCAGCGTGGCCAGCATCTTCATCGCCGCGTCCCCGTCGGCGGCTCCGCCCGCGGTGTTGTCGGTGTCGCCACCGCCGCTACCGCTGCCGGTCCCACTCCCGCTCTTGTTGTTGCGTGCCTTCTGCAACGACGCTCTCACCGCGACCGCAGGGATGGTGGTTGCAGCGGTAGCACCAGGAGTCGCTGCGCGCTTGCCGCCGCCGCCGCTGCTGCTGCTCTTTGCCGTTGTTCTCCTCGAGACGGCCGTTGGCAGCGGGGTTCCTTGCGGCCCACCAGCCGCCGCCGACTTCTTCGAGCGGCGGGGGCTTGAGCGCACCGCGGTAGCAGGAGCGGCTTCGTTCGACCGAGTCTCGGTGACCCTCGCTGAACAACGGCCCCGTTCCTGGCCCACTGCTGCGCCGGCTGCTGCCGCTACTCGCACGGCGCGGCCCCTAGTCGACATATTCGTCTTGGTCATCTTCCCGTTGGTTTGAAATGCACCTGCTGCTGATGATGATGAAGATGCCCCGCCCGCTGCTGCGGCTGCCAGCAGCTCGGCGCCGCGCGTGGACCTCTTCTTGCTGGGAGGACAAGCGTTGGACGTCGCTATGCGATGCTTCATCTTGAGGTCGTAACAGTGGATACAGCAGTCGAGGTAGGTCGGGAAACCACAGAGAGAAGCTGTGCACTGAACAATACAGGACATGATCAGGGACGGGAGCCCCGTGACATGTATCGGCGCCAAAGGTGGGTACCCACATTTACCCCCCCCCACCCAAACCAGAGCGACAAGGAGAGAGTGTGCCGAAAGAGCACACAGGAATAGGGCGTGACAGAGGGGCGAAGCTGTGCGTTCGAGAGGTGTGAAGGGACCCTTCGACAGGGCCGTCGCCGACGGTGAGAATTCGTTGTATCCGTGGCAAAGTTCAGGGTGAAATCTCTCTAGCCAGTAGTGTCTCATCTGAACGAAGCGTAACCGGCGCAGCCAGCACCTCCAACAAGAGATCTCAAGCCCGTGGTGTTGGTAATTACTTCGTAGTCCACAGGGTTAGAGTCGGTACCTCAAAGCAGCGTCGTCGATCTTTCTCGCAGGCGCTCGAGCGAGGATATTGCAAGCGTGCGTGCTTATTCTCATCCTGCACGCCACCCACTGCTGCTGGTTGGGTCTCGTGCGTTGCTGGCCCTCGAAAAATCATTTCCATCTCTCTCCCTCTGAATCCACCACACGCGACCGAATGACTCAAAAATCGCAAGTGATTTTGAGTTGGGCGGCGGCCTGTCCTGTTGTGTGGATGCTGGTTGTGTGTGTACTTGCTGCTTATCCGGCCCAGAGAACCGACGACACACGCAAACCTACGCACTGCTGTTGCCTTTCTTCTGCCCGACGTTGTTCCCCATCGCAGCTCTGGGACCACAGCCTGCTCCAGACTAAATACTGCTCTAGGGCCCCCCAAGACCAGGCCTCGTCGTCGAGACTGCAAGTCAGGAAAGGTTGTGTTTTTTTGTGTGTGGGGTTGCCTAGAGGCGGTGTCGACTCTCCTCCAACCGGCGGGAATTTTTTTTGTTGCTGCGGCGCTGGTGGCCGCTAGCACTGCTGACCGCCCTGTTCCCACGCGGGGCAAAAAAAATAAAGTCTCGGGGCGGCGGCGCTTTGTTCTGCTGCCGGGACGATGCCGGCGAAAAAAGGCAAGACCAAGAGCAAGAAGGCAGGATCGTCCTCGTCCTCAAAGACAACAGCGGTGGCCGCCGGCTTTGACGTAGTAGAAGGAGGGGGTGGGCAGCAAAACGACAGCAGCGGAGGAGGAGGCGGCAGCAGCGGCAGCGTCTCCAAGAAGTCTAAAGGCGGCGGCGGCGGCGGCGGTGGGTCCAGCGAAGACTTCTTGCGCCGACGGCGGACACCGGGCTACGGCGACAACGAGCCCGGCGGCGTCGGGGGCGGGGGCGACTTTCGGCATACGAACGGAGGCAGCAGCTCGGGCGATCGCGAGAGAGACAGGGATACCGTGGACAGAGATAGGGACAAGGACGGCGGTAGCAGGGGTCTAGGGGGCGGGGGCACCGGGGGTGATCATTGCCACAACGGGGAGTCGCTGTGCAGGAGCCCCTTCATCAGGAGCTCGGCGGGGAAGCAATGGTCGTGGCTGGGGTATTCGGCCAAGCAGTTCCGGTCGTTCGCGCAAGAGTTTCCCCCGATGTTGGACGTCGGGGCGGAAGAGGTGAGATGATGATAAGTGCCGGTGTACCTGACGATTACCGTTGGCGGGATCGGGCCGTTCAATCGTGTTTTTCACGCCGTCGCCGTTCTCGGGACCGGCTCCTTCCACCAATCACGTGGCGTGATTCACTGGGGACCGGGGCAGATAACTTGCCAGCAACGCATACATAGATGGAATACTTGTACATTCGTTGACGGTATCAGCAGAAGTGGACGGCGTGTACATGCCGTAGCGACATCAAGTGGTGTAGCCAGGTCCCCCGTGGAATGATTGCACCCAGCCGCGCTGGCGCCGGCTCGGCGGGGGGGAAGATGCATCCCCTTTGTTGTCAAGAATTATCGCACCCGCTCGCGAACAAAAGTGTACCTTGTACCTTGTGGTTACAGAGGAGTATGGCGCAGGCAGCGCAACGGTATAAAGACTCGCTCGCGCGCGCACCTCCGCGCATAGTCTTTGTCCGGTGCTCTGTTGTTTCACATCCTCGCTCTGACGCCATATTGCCCCCTTGTCACCCCAGGTGCGCTTGAAGATCGAGGACATAAAGTGCAGCACCTGTCGAGATCGCCTGCTGAAGGCGCTCGGCCGGGGGCTACGCAGAGGCGGTTTCCCCCTAACCAAGCTCGTCAAGCTGGCCGCGTGCCGCTCCGGCGAAGAAGAGCACGGTGACCAGTCCAAGCGGCCCGAGGAGACATGCACCCCGACGTCCACGCCCCCGGCGGCGGCCCTTGGTGGGCGGGGAGACGCCGGTGGCGACGGACGGGCACCGGTGGTCCTGTCGAACGGGCGGAGTGGCGTCGTCGAAGAGTCTCAGAAGAGGGTGGAGGCGGCCGCAGGGGGCGGCGGTGGCGGCAACGCTAGCGGGAGCATCCTACCAAGCGACCGGCTGCGCATCCGCGCCCCGGTCACCCCGGACCTTCTTCGACAGGTGATCGGCGTCGTGCAGCAGGCGGCGCTGGTGCCGCCCGCCGCGGACGCTCCCGGCAAGAGGGAGGGCGCAGCGGCGGATTTGTTGGCAGAGGAGTGGCTGTCTACCTACCCGGCGCCGGACCCCGCCCTGCTAGAAGCGGGCGAGGCGAAGTCGAACGCCGGCGGCGGCCTGCGGGGCACAGGGACGGGCTCCCTGTCGTTTTCGCGCGGGAGCTTCGGCGGCGGCGGCGGCGGCCACGGGCGGTCCGACAGCGCCGAGCGAAACCCGTGGGCCCTGATGGAGCGGGTGGATCGAGCCAGGGACAACGCGTTCAAGTGCTGCGGGGTCATCGAGGCTAGCGCTGGGGGTGCGAGCAGCAGCGGCGGCGGCGGCGGCGGCGGCGGCGGGTTGTTGGAGTCAAGCGGCAGCCTCAACGGGGGGGGATCGTCTTCGATGGCCGGGAACATGGAGTGGAACCCGCAGTTCGCCCCGCGCCTGCAGGAGGCGGAGGCGGCCATCGTGGAGTGGCTGACGGAGCTCACCATGGCGCTGCACGGGCTGACGTTCCAGTTCACGCTCGCTTTCATCGGCGAGGATGACGGCGAGGACGGGAGCACCGGAAGCAGCGACCTGGCCGAATCCACTGCCCTGGCGGAGGACCTCTGGACCGCCTACGAGGATTCGGTGAAGCGGCAGCTGGACCTCACCCTGGAGGCGAGGAGAGAGCAGCTCCGCGAGCAGTCCCAGCCGATGGGCCTCGCCCTCTGCTTCACGGCGCAAAACCGCGTCCTGGCTTCGGAGCTGCTGGGGCGAAAGCGGACGGAGATGGCCGCGCTGCACCAGGCCACGATCGGGGTGATGGCGGCGCCGAAGCTGAGGCCGCTCCTCCAGCGCGCGGAGCGGGCGCGGCAGAAGTGGTCGAGCTTGCTGCTGCCCGAGGACGTCTACGCGCTGGACGACTTGGTTGAGCGGGTGCTGAGGGCCCGCCTGCAGGTGTGTGCGTGGTGTGCGTTGCTGCGGTAGTATTGGTTGCTGCTGCTGCTGCCTCTGCTGCTGCCGCTGCCGCTGCTGTGCATGTATCATGTTTGGCATGCGAGTAATGGTGTGTATTGGTATGTTGAGAGGGATCGTTGGTTGAAGATATGGTGTGGAACTCAGATGAGTGCGCAAGATAGGGCCATCAAACACTTACACGCACATGCATACTCTTGCATACGCCCCTCCCCCCCGCGCGCGTATTCATACGCACACACGTGTTCAGGTGTTCAAGGTGGAGTCTTTCGCGTACAACGCGTCCAGCGACGTGATCCAGGCGGAGCAGATGGCGGACGCCCAGCTCAAGACGGTGGTGCAGGAGTGGGAGGCGATGCTAGACGGCCTCAAGGCCCGTGTTGAGTGCAGGGTGTCGGAAGAGCTCAACTCCACGGTTTATCCGCAGGTTTGTGTGTGTATGTTTTTTTTTAGGCGGGACAGCGGCTGCCGGGCTTGTGTGCTCTTTGCGTGTGGTGACACATGGGTGATGGGTGATGGGGCGGGAAGAAAGAACCCTGGGCAGCAGTCCTGCGGAGCAACAATTTCTCTCATACGATGGAGTTGGCTACATACAGTAGTCGAGGAGGATCGAAAGAAAGACAATGTTGATGCCGTTGATGATGCCATATTAATAGTGTCCCCTCGGCAATACGCGCATAGCGGCATTTGCACGAGTTTTACCGAGGAGCCACCAATGATGCGATCCAAGGAGCCTCGCAGAATCGTAAACCGACCCCCCTCCCCCCCCCCTCTCTCTCCCCGCCGTCCGCGACCCAACAGTCGCCGGCGTTGACGTCAGCACTGCAGACGTGGCTGTCGACGTTCCAGGCGGACTGGGTTGGCAACGAGACCACCCAGCAGCTGCACGCGCACATCCGCCAGAGGCAGGTGCACCAGCTGTGCCAGACCTTGGTGGCCAAGAAGCAGCGCCTTAAGGCAACCAAGGACGAGGTGGGTGGATGCTGTGCTGGGCGGGGGGGGGCACGGTGCCGGTTGTTGAGCCGCAACTCTTTTGTTGGTATCGAGGGGGTTTTGTGGTAGTTTGGGAGGTTGTCTGAAGCGAAGCGAGAGCGGGGTAGATCGGTGTGCGGTACGTGGGATATTCGACCGTTGGGAGTTGCTACCAGGTTGGTGTGGGTCTCCGCGGGTGTTTTCAGCGACGAGTGTCGATTAAATATGTTTGAAAGGAGCGGCTATTCTATTCTAGGACACGCTTGGTCACTGGTTGGTAAGGTTGGGGCAGTGGCGGGACGCAGGCTGTACCTCCTGGCGTGCCTTAGCACAGCAGTGGCAGTGGAAATTTACAGGTTGCGATCAAACGGCGGCGCATGGTTCGCTTTGGTGTTTTCGGCACCTCCTTCTGACGTTGTTCTCCCGCCATCAAGGAGAAACCGCTGTGCGGTGGGTTGGAGCACCGTGTGTGCCGGCTAACGCTAGGGTTTCCCTGAGTAGACACGCCGCGGCCGGCGTTGCCAGCACTCTCAGATGCCCCCACCCCCCCCCCGTTGTACCCGCTTGGTTTTATCGCTCCAACGTGCCGCTTCCCGCCTCGCCGTTCTCCGTTTTTTTCAGGCGAACGAGTTCGGGAAGCAGCGCCGCAAGAGGGATGCCCGCGCTGCTTCCGGCAACGGGATGTTCTCTCCCTCGGCTGAGCAAGCGGAAGACATGGTAAGCGCCTGGGAGCGGGCGGCTTGTTGGTGTATCGAATGGCCTTGAATCGGGAGGAACTTGTTGGGTGTGTTTCTGGGTCTTGGGGGCACGGTCGTGTATTGTTGTTGGGAACCGCCATTTGTTGTTCTGTCTCTCCAAAGACCGGGTTGGTTGGAACGCGTCCATTGGATAGATGTCAATTCGTCATCTTCTGTGGTTGAGGTGCAAGTGTACCTGTACTGCTGCTGCTACTGCTGCTCCTTCTGGCCGGGGAAGGTCCTTCGGTGCTCTGCGCTACCGCCGAAATCAAGCTCGGCAGTGTGTTCGTTCGTTGAGCCTTGTATCCGGTAACGTCATGATGGGTGGGGGGCGGGCGCGGTGTTGTATGGAACAGCTTGCGTGTTTTTTGTGCCCGCTTTTCTCGTGTTTATTTTGGAAAGCTTCCTTTGCTCTCACGGTCTTCAGTTCGTCTGGTGTCTTACAAAACCGCATGGTCCACGGTGCGCGACCCCAATGACCATCAAAACCGTCGGAACGATGCTGGCATTTCGTTGTATTCCGGGTTGACATTGACTTGTTTTTGGCGGGTTTTCATTTCTCGGTTGTGTGCCGCCTCGCCATGTTGTCGCAGGCGAAGCAGCGAGAGTTCGAGGAGAGGTGCCAGTCCCTCGCCACCGCCATCTCCCTCACCCAGCAGGAGCAGATAGAGACGTGCCTCACCTACCGCCTCTTCGCGGTCGGGCAGCTGCACCAACGGTACCGGCGGCTCCGGCTATTCTTCGCGCAGCTGGGGTCCCGCGTCGGAGCGAGGGAGTCGCAGGCGACCCTCCTCTGCGGAGGGGAGGGGCAGGCGGAGGAGCGGATCAAGATGGTCGGGGTGTGCCTGATGCTGGGCGTGGTGGAGGAGGCGTGCTTGAAGTGGACGGCGGTGCAGAACGAGAGGCAGCTCGTGGAGGGGATGAACCGCGAGGTCAGTCGGGTAGACGTGAGAGAGGGAAACAGATGCCCTCCCCCCTGCTTGCGCCGGGGGGCGGGGATACCGAGGTTTGGTGCGGGTATCGCACAGCGGTTGATGTGTACACGCCGCATCGCTTTTATGGTGCGTTGGCTGCCTGGTGTGTCTGAAGGGAGAGTTTGATGCGCCCAAATTGTGATGTTTTTTGGTATGAATGTTGACGCCTGGTTTCACCACAACGTAGCTTTACAGGTGAAAATACGCGTCACACGCGTTTTGCGACGAGACAGTATTTATGCTTTTTTTTTGGCGAGCTGGAGAGCTCATTTGTCCCTGCATCTCAACTGCTTGTCCTAAAGACTGCGACTGCTGCGTCTGGTTCACGCTGTCCCTGTTGCATGTGACAGCGGCAAACGACGTTATTGTTTTTTTCTTCGACCAGTGTAGGTGTCCTTACTCCTCCCTGTCCACCCCATGGGGATAATCTTACAATACCTGTTGTTGCCAGGACGCAAGTCAAGACGCGAAGCGTCGGAAACGCGAGCGGGCCAAGGCGAAGGTCCGCGAGACCAAGACAGCTGCGGCGGCGGCGGCGGTGGCGGCGGCAGCGGCTGTAGCCAAAGCTGCGGAAGCACCCCCTACTGCTGTCGCCTCCGCCTCCTCCTCCAAGGAAGTTGGCGCTGTAGACCCATCGCCGGCACAGGGGAGCGCTGAGGGCGGGCAGGCTGCCGTTCCCGGTGCCGAGGCCGCCACCACAGCTGCCGCCGCCGCCGCCGCCGAAGACCGTCAACCCCCTGCCCCTGTAGACAATGAAGACAGCTTTCCACGGGAGCATCGAAGAGTGCCGTCGGGAAAAGGCTTGGGCAAGGCGCCTGCAGCCGTAAGAAACGGGGAGGAGCGGTCTACTATGGGGTGGCGCGGGACAGATAGAGCGGCGCGGCCGGCCGGAGACGAGGACGAGGACGGCTTCGTGACGATCGCCAAGTCCAAGCCTAGGCGATCAACCGCCGCCGCCGCCGCCGCCGCTCGCGAGAGCTCGTTCCTTCAGCAGAATGGCCGGCCGTGGGGGGGCGGGCGCGGGGGGGGTGGAAGAGACGGCGGGGGCAGAGGTCGCGGAGGGGGGGGTGCCGCTGGCGGAGGGTACGGGTACGAGGGGAGAGACCGCGCACCACGAGACGCTAGGCCGTACGAGCAGGATAGGAAGTCTAGGGCTGCTGGGGCGGCAGTGTCTGGGGGCGCACGGCTTTCGTCGTCGACCTCGGCCGCCGGCGGCTGGGCGCAGCGGCACAGGGGGGTCGTACAAGAGCCGCCTGAGGTCGGTGCGGCTGCGGCCACTGCTGGTGCTGCTGGTGCTGCTGGTGCTGCTGGTGCTGCTGGTGCTGCTGGTGCTGCTGGCAATGGGTGGCCGGGGGTTGCGGACGCGAATGGCAGCGGGCGACGAAGTCGAGAGGATCAAGGCGGTAGCGATCAGCGACCAGCTGCCGCCTCCGCCGCCGTTGCGTCGAGACAGGGCGGCGGGTGGGCAGCGGCGGCGGCGGCGGCGGGGGCGGCCAGCGGCGGCAGCAGCGCGGTGGTGTCACCGGTAGCAGTAGCGGCT